GGGAGTAGAGAGGAAGCTCCCACTCACTTGTTTTAAGTGTGGCTCTGAAGGACGCTTGGCCAAGGGTGGCCCACATCAGGTCCTTGTGGCTCACAGGACTGACAGGCCCCAGCTCCCACCTGGAAACAAAGGAGGATGCTCCAATGATTTAGATCCTCCCAGAAGAGCTGTGGGTGAGCATTAACATTACTGGTAAGTATATTCATTTTCTCCTGGACACAAGAGCCTACTATCTGGACCTAAAAGTCTTCTGAGGTCCCAACTCTTCTCACTATTTCTTAGTTGTTGGAATGGATGGAAAACCTCATAAGCAGTTCCTTACTTCACCTCTACTTTGCATGCGGACTTCCGAGTTGTAAAACAACCCAGTGGTAGATGGAATTTGCTCCAGGACTTAAGAACAATAAATTACATAGTTGGACCTCTACATCTTGTGATTCCTAACCTTTATAATATAATAGACAAAGTGCTAGTCAATAGGCCTTTTATTGTAAGAGCCACCTTCCCTCTGTAACTTGATTGGTGCCACTATTAGAGCCTCTACGTGGAATATTATTGCTTTTCAATTTTTGACTCATGTATTTTTAACTTGTTAGTTGAATTTGTGTTTTCTAGGCTGCAACACTTCCATGTTACATCTTCAAGGATATGAACATGCACGGCTAAGCACAATTGATAACAGTGCATCTAAATTCCAAAATCAATCTCCATAATAGTCTATGTGTTTCCTATTGCCAAAGGGGCTCTTTAGAGTAGTGAGAGAAGATCTTCACCCTGAAACCTACAGCGTCCCTTTCCAGCAGGAAGTAGCTAAGAGAATAGCTGTCCCCTTTTCCTTATGAATCAGGGTGAAGTCTCTCTCGAGGAGGAGTGATAGGGAATGGCAAAGGACACACTGACAAAGGAGATTAATCAGAACTGGCTTTGACAAGCACTGTGGCAATTGGATAGTTAAAACAGACTTTCAAGGGGGGAAAAAAAAAGAAGAACGAACTGGGGAGGAGGGTAGAGAAAATAGTCAACAATGAATGAATGAATAAAAACCCCAAATCTCTGTAAATGTTCATTAAAATTAGTAAAATTTAATAACAAAATAATATAAAAAAAGGAAACCTGAGGAAAAAAAAAAGTAACATCGATTGCAATGGTTATGATTATATGTCAACTTAGCTGGCCAGATTTCTCAGTGGTTCTGCAGTTATGCAATAATATAACCATACTCCCACTTTGCATAATATGGGTTTTTTTTTAATAAATGAAACTGGTTTTTACAATTTAACGATGTCTGTAAGTGAAGACTGTGTGTTCTTTTCGAGTCAGATCCGACTGGCACAGGAGAAGATTGCCACGCTTTCTCCAATAGAGCATCTGATGAATTAGAACCGACTACCTTCTGGATTGCAGTGCAGCTTCTTGCCACTAGGCCACCAAACCTCCCAGGGTGCATTTTTAAAAAAGTTTTTCAGAAGAGCTATCTGTCAATCTCAAACATTTCCTCTAACTGTTCTTTTCAGTGACTTCCCGGGGCTGAATATGAATTGGGTTCTTTAGATTTGCCTGTAGACCTCTTCCCTTAGTCTACTCAGGACTAGCTCCCTTCACTCCGAGCTCCAGCCTTAATAGTTTTGTTACTATTTTTTTCAGGAGCTCAGACTCCAGGCCACTTTTTGCCCCTTCATTGGGAGCTCTGGTGGCCTTATAGGTATGGACTTGCGTAACCCAAATGTGGCACCTCTTCGTTGTTGCAACCCACCTGAGAAAGGGCAGTCTTTTCCCATAGTATTTGTTGCTGTGTGCCGTTGAGACGTTTACGACTCATAGCGACCGTATGTACAACACCCCTAAACCCTGCTCTATCCTGTGCCAATCTCACTGCCTCTGACACACCCCTCCCAATGACCCCGTCACTGAAACAATCCATCTCATAGAGGGTCTTCCCCTCTTGCGCTGACCCTCCACCTTCCCAAGCATGATGTCCCTCTCCAAGGATCTGTCCCTCCTTGCAACATGCCCAAATTATGTCAGATGAAGCCCCAGAATCCTTGCCTC